TGACACCACGATTTCTCACCACAACTTTCCATGCAAACTTGGAACCACAAATTCTCGGTTGTCTTGATCGTGGAAAAGCAACATGTTCTCACGTCCTTGCAAACATTTGGCGACCATCATTCACTACAATGTCATGCATGAGATAAGTTTTTGTGCATTTTGGACACACAGCATACTGTATAAAGTTGTTCCGATCAACTCTCAACATCTTTCGTCCTGAGTAGAGGGTGGTTGGCAGATTTGCTGCAAGAACTAAACACAAGCCTGTATGATCCTTGATCAAGTGACCAATGCAAAAAAACAATTGTTGTAAAAATTTCAGAACTTGCTTGAGGGCATTGTCACTCACATAATTCTTGTATTGCCAAACTAATAAAAAATAAACAAGCCATGTCGAAATGATCCCTGTGTGCTGCTGACATGTTCTTGGTGGTAAAGGCTGTGGTAGTTCTATCTCCTCAGAATGAAGAAATTCCTCAGTATCACCACTTTGTTCTGAGTCCGTATAATCTGTTCCACCATCTTCAAGGCAGCTACTTGGCTCATCAGAGAGGCTGTCAGACTCATCTTGCCCCTTTAAGAAAAGATGTGAGGTTTCCACTTGGTGAAGATAAAAGTAATATAAACTCAAAAAGTTTCCCTAGGAACCTTTCACAAACACATATACAATAGGAATACATCATAACAGAAATAGTGCACTCTATGACACTTAAAAGGACATTCATTTTAAATGTACAGCAGGTTTAACTTATTACATAACTCTTGGGGGGGTTCTCATTTGATGTTCTTGTTGGGCACATACTCAGTGCTGTGTAAACAGAACTGCACTCTTTACGAAATTCTCTACTTTGCAGGAAAAATCCCCAAACAGGCAGACACATGAAAAAATTATTTTTCTAAATGCCCAATGTGGGCTGAATTTCCTCACTTCAAGGCCCTGTTTGTTTGATAAGGGTTTAATCCGCTGGAATTGTGTACCATACATGTAAAACAAAAAGGGATTGAGCTTCCCATGATATACTGGCTCACTCCATGGTTAAGATACAGAAATGACACATATACACTGTGCACGTAATCAAGTAAACCGTACCTGTTGACCACCATTGTGAGAGTCAGATCGACTGCAGTCATCTGTGAGGTTGAGGAAAGAGAAAGGTAAGAAAAAGGTAAGTTTCTAATCCAAAATAACACCAATGAAATGTGTAGAAAACAAAAATAAAATGTACAGAAAAAGCAGTTGAAAACAATTGTTTTTTTTTTTTTCTTATCCTGTGAGTACGAAATAACTTTAAACTGGTTTGACATAGGAAGCTAAATAAATAAATTGAAGCAGTGTTCAACACTAACGCTTGCCCACTTACCTGGGGCAAGCTAAATTATACCTTGGGCAAGTGTGTAAGCTACACAGGTTACCCGTTTGGGCAAGTGGTTAAGGATAACACTCGAGCTGCTTGGACAAGAGTAAAATCCAACTGCTGCAGCAAAATCACCTGAACCCTTTTTTTGAAATTTCAGTTATGTGAACATAGAAGGAGAATGAAAAACAAGTACAAGTTTTGAAAATTCAATGAAGCATCACGCAAAGTGAGCTGGTGCTTTATTTTGGGCAACCAAATAATACACTCAGCAAGTAAAACTGGAGACGTTGTTGCCTCGAGGGCAAGTAAGCAGGAAAATTAGTGTCAAATAATGGTGAAGACAATCTTCGCTTTCGAGAGGATGCTGAAAAATACAGGACTTGACAAAGCAAGTAGATTTTTCGGTCAGGCCAGCAGTTAAAATTTTCTTTGCTAACTTGCCAGATGAACAAGCTGTCACTTAAAGGCCCATTTTCATCCGAGATCCTTTGCAGTCCTTTGTTTTTATTTTGGAATCGCGCTATTGTTAAATGGCGAACTCTGATAGTCATTCACAAACACTATTAAAAAGAAAAACAAAGATTTGGTGAAGAACACATTAAACAAATTTGCAGCTAAATATTTGAGACTGAAAAATCATAAATCGAGTCTGTGTATAACACTTGCACAAAGCTTACTTGATGTTCAAGGAAATTGTTCGGCTTCAACACTAAATAAAATATAAACAAATAACCAATATTGGCCAAAACTGATTTACTTTACGCATTTCAATTATAGAATAA